AGCCCCGCCGCGGCGGGGTGCGGGGGGGAAGCGGGGCGCCTGGGAAGGAGGAGACGGAGCTGGCGGGCAGGTGGAGAAAGAGCCCATCGAGGTGCACGTGGTGGCTGTGTGAGCCCTCGTACCAGTGCCGTGATGGGCTTACTGGGGGCACAAAAGGGTCCTCAGCATCCCTGTGGCCCCGTGATGGATGCAGGACCCCACCGCGGCTGTTGCACCTGCCCCGGCCGAGGGTCAGTTGGGCTCAGTCTCCCCGGGGCACCTCCTTATGGGCCCCCCACCCCGCTCTCTTGCAGTCCTGACTTTTCGGGAGATCTGGAATCGTAGTTTCTGCCGGCCTCTGGAGCAGCTGGTGGACGTCATTACCGAGTTCCCCAACGAGGTGGAGTACATTTTCAGACCCTCCTGCGTCTCTCTGCAGCGCTGCGGAGGCTGCTGTGGGGATGAGGGTCTCCGCTGCGTCCCTGTGGAGACAAGCACGGTCACCATGCAGGTAAGCACTGCCGCTGCGGGTCCGTGGCTGTGCCGGGGTGGTGGTGGGCTCCTCACCAAGCACCGCGAGGGTGAACTTGCAGCTTTGCATCCTCCAGGCATCGTAGCAGCCTGGATAACAGGGGAGGGGGCTTACTCACAACTGCTCGAGTGCATGCAAAACCAAGAGGGTCCCTCTGCCTGCTCTTTGGGCTTGTCCCTGAGGCCAGGTGACACCCCTGGTGGCACCGGCCTCATTCCCCACTTCCCTGCCCTCTCCTCTCTGAGTGGTCTGTCTGTCAGGCTGACTGTCATCACCTTTCCAGACTTTCCCTATTCTGTGGTGGGGCTGGAGGTTTCCCAGTAGCCCATGATTCTGCCTGCTGGGGCAAAGCAGGCGCTGCCCCTGAATCGCAGGGAGAAGTGAGGCTCACCCTGGTGCTGACAGTGAATGTATGCTGGGGGATTGGTGAGCATGAAGAGCTGTGCCAGCCATGTTTCCAGTCCCCACTGTGGGAGCTGTGCGAAGTGGGGTGGAAGACCGCCGGCTGCAAACAAGCTGGCGGTCGGCTCTTCCCCATGCGCCTGGCAGCCGTTGTGTTTGCGCTGCCGGAGATCAACCCACTGCTGCTGCGGGGAGCAGGGAAAAGCTCTGCTTTGCTGTGGGAACAAACTAGAGAGTGCCTGCAATAAATCACCAGTGATTTTGGTCCCTCTGGGGTGGAAAAGCTTGTTAGAAGGCAGGGTGGGAGGCTCCCAAAAAAATCTTGACTAAGATGGAGCAAGAGCTTGACGTGAACGGGAAGCAAACCCCCAAGCACAGGTCTCCCTCCACAGGAGGGATCCTGCTGCTGTGTGTGGGGTGGCAACGCCAGGCACCGCTGTGAGGGGTTAGTGTGGATCACACCAATGATGAACGTACCTCGTGAAGCCCCTCAATGTCCTACTCAAACTCCAGGCTGAGCTGTGAACTGACATGTGGCAGGGTCAATCCTGCACCCCTGGGCTGGGGAGGCACCGTGGTGCTGACTCCAGGCTCAGTACTGTGGGAAAAGGGGCCAGGAGGAGGCAGCAGCAACGGGAATGGTCTGGGAAATGTGAATAGGGGGATATTTCCATCACAGAAGGGAGATGTGCAAAGTGGTCAAATATGTGAAAGCTCTCCATGAAGGCAGAGACAGAAAAAAATCTCCTCTAAGGCTGGGAAATCCCAAGACCATGGGACTTAAATTACAGCCCTGAAGACACGGGGCGGCACTGGCAGAGCCTCCCAAGCCATCGGGGTGGCTGGGCCTGGCCGGTGCTGCCTGCGTGCGGAGGTGGAGTCTTCACTGCCGGAGGTCCCGAGAAACAGGTTAGACACGCGTCTGCCCGAGAGGAGAGGCTGGGGTGGCGAGGCAGTGCTGTGGGAGCCCTTCCAGCCCCCCTCCTGCCGCCGGCCGGGAAGTAACCTTTGCTCCTCTTTCAGCTCCTGAAGATAAAGCCAAACGGGGAGGCACCCTACGTGGAGATGACGTTCACCGAGCACAAGCAGTGCGAGTGCAGGTAGGGACCCCTGGGCTCGTTTTGCACCCCTGTGCCCTGCCAGCTCACCCTGTGCATGGGACAAGGATGACCTGGGGGTACCACAGCTGTGCTGGGACACCCCCACTGTCTCTGCGCTGGGGTTTGCTGGTGCTTATGGCCCTTGCTCGGCTGTGGGCTGCACTGTGCCTCTGCAGCCTGCTCCCCGCAGCCAAGGGGGTGCGCAGCACTGCCTGCGGTGGCTGGAGCTGCTGCGGCACCCCAGCTCTGTGCGCCGG